CTTATGAAGTATTCTAATTTGTTGAGATAGTGAATTGGTGGGTTTTTGTTAAATGTGAGCCAAAATCATCACAATGAAATGAACTTTTCCACGACATTCTAATTTATTGAGATGCACCTGTATATACATCTCTGTGTGTGTGTGTGTGTGTGTACAATTTATTATAGCCTATTTAGTTTTAGATCTTCTTTTTCAGAATTTTAAATGTTTTATTTTTTCCAAGTGTATACTTTCCAAATGTAAATATATATATATATATAGTGTATATATACAGTGGGTACGGAAAGTATTCAGACCTGGTATAAAAGAAAAATGTTGACCCATACAATGTATTTTTGGCGATTGCTACAAATATACCCCAGCGACTTAAGACTGGTTTTGTCGTCCAGGGTCACATATATAAAATTGGGGTCAAACTCTATTTTGAAAGTCCAATTCTCCCTATTGACAAACCATTAACTATGACTTTTGCCCCAATAAACTCCTAATTTGCTGCTTATTAATAGTTAGCTGTTAAGTTTAGGTGTTGAGTAGAATTAGGGATGTAAAATATGGTCATGCAGAATATGTGCTTTATGAGTGCTAATAAACAGCCAATATGTTATTAATAGGCATGCTAATAAGCAACTAGCTAGTAGTGAGAATTGGTCCCTACTAAAGTGTTACCAAAATTTTATATAATTTGGACACTTTTTAAAACTACATTTTCAGGTTTTAGTTACTTGAGGCACATTTCTGATATGTCTGGTTTGCAATCAGAGTAGGTGTGTGTGGGTGTGACATTCTTTGAGGGAAGTTACTATAATGTATTCAGGGACATTTTTAAAGTGTTTAGCGCACACAATCCCATCTAATCTCTTTCTCCTGAGGGGTGTTAGTTGTGAGGTGATGTTTGTGCTTCGTTGCTTTTGTAAACTACTCATTATGAAGTAAATAAGCTCATCACAAACACACATGCCACAGAATTGAGCAATAAAGCTATGCAATCCCTTTGAGCGGCCTACATAAATTCAGTTAACGCTGTTAGGGGGGGCATTTTGTTTGTTTGTTTTTCTTTATCTTCCTTCATCAGTTTACAAGAGGTGCAGCCCACATTCCTCTATTATTAACATCATTAACATATTAATTGGTCTAGATGTGAATTGTTATCCGTTTTGAACAGATA